CATTCTAATTCTTTCCTGAATTACTGAAGGTTTACTGAAGGTTTCTGTCATTTTCCTGTGATCCTTGTTTTTTTTTTTTTTTTAATCTATTTAGTACAGTGTCTGCCTACTCAGCTTGGACTTGTAGTGGTCCTTCTTCTGTTTTCAGCCTCTCTAGTGCTGACATTACAGATATGCACCACTATGCCAGGTCTTAGAGCTGGCTCAACATCCCCAGGGATGGGGCTGGTGCAACCTGTGGTGCTGGGGATTGAACCCTGGTCCCTGTGCTTGCCTAAGCAGGCACTTAGTTCACTGAGCTATCTCACCACCCCCCCACCCACCTTTTTTCAATCTGTGTCTCCTTTAGCTATGCTGAGTAATTCCTTCATTATAGTTGTCTTTTTGTTGTTGTTGTTGTTGTTGTTGTTGTTGTTGTTGTTGTTGTTTTTACCTATGAGGTTATTTGTGATCTGATTTCTTTTATAGCCTGGTGGAGTTGTTTCTTTACTTCAGTTGCTATCATTTCAGAAATTTCAGTTGTGTTGCTTCCGATTTCTTCAATGTTGAGGTTTCCTACATTTGTTGTGGGTGGGCTGGAGGCCTGAGATTCCATTTTACTTCTTCTTCTTCTTGACATTACCAAAAATCAACAATAGTTCCAGTGCTGGCTCCCAAGGTGGTATAGGAATGGTGGGCAGGATCTCTCCCTTCCTTGGGTTGACCTAGTCTCCTTGGACACCTTCCCTGATGGTGGAAGGGTGGTGGGCCTTCCTGCTGTTTGTTGCACGTCTAATAATTTTGTGTAGTTGCCGGACATTTACGTGATTTACAAAGTTTATATGACTAGGTTCTGGATTTTGTTATTTTCCTTTAAAGTTGAGGATTAAATTTTAAAAAATGTTTTAGTTTGGGCTAATTTTTAAAGAATATTGGCCTTTCTTCTGGTATGTATTTATATGATTCACTTCAGCTTTGTTTCTTTGAAGCATGTTTAGTAATCTTTGAAATGGCAGTTTTGGAATTACCTTTTCTTTAGGACTAATTAAAGCCTAAAGAAATTATTAATGTCCCTACCCAGTGGAGAGCTTCCAGAGGTATATCACTTAATATAATGAATGTCTTTTTATTCTGGTTGATGGGTATACACACATTATTTTTGTTTCTGTATGAAATTCAGGAATTGTTCACCTTGATACTTTGCTTGTCCTGGGGTATTTTTTTGTTTTCATTCTGTGTGCATGAATAAATATGCAGTGGAAAATAGGATCAAATTCCTTTGTAGCTCATTCTGATTTGTCTCAACTCAGCAAGATCCTCATTCTTTGGTTTTTCTTTCCTCCTTTAAAGGCTCTCTAGACAGTAAAGTAGTAGACTCAAACTTTTTTTTTTTTAAATCTCATTTGTCTTTCAGTGGACACAGTTCTGCCTATCTTTTGTGCAGCTTCTAAAAAGTAGTTCTTTTGCATATACTGCTCTCCTTTCTAGTTTAAGGACAGTGGAAAGAATTCAGTTTTTCTTTTTTAGTTTAGCCAGAAGTACATACTGGTAATGTTTAAAATCCTCATTTAGCTAATAATATTTTTTAAGCTAACAACATTTTAATAAAGAATTAAAATACTGTTTTGTTTTTTGTGGTAAATATGTGGTATGAATTTGACCAGTTTAGCTATTGTAAGGGATTGTTTCTGTGGCATTAAGTACATCCTCATTATTGTGCAGTCATCACCGCCGTTAATCTGTAGAAGTATTTCTATCTTTCAGAATTGAAATTCTAACCCCTCTCTCACCTGTCCTCTGTAAACTACCCTTCTATCTCTTTTCTCCATGACCTGATTATCTTAGGTACCTTATATAGGTGAAATTATTCAGTGATATTTGTTTTATTTCTAACGGCTTATTTCACTTCGTATCTTACCAAGGTAGATCCATGTATCATCAAAAAGCCTTTCCATCTTAAACAATATTTGATTGTATGCATATACCATATTGTGTTCATCCATTGCTATTAACCGAGTTTCTGCAAAGAAACAGCTGAGTCGTGATAAAGAATTGGTTCATGTGATGATCAATGTTGGGATATCATAAGGTCTGTTGTTAGCAGGTTGGTATACTATGAAAACTGACAATAATAGTTCTAAAGTAGCATAGAAAAAAGTTAGGTAGAAAGGAGACAAGGAAATCATAACTAAAAATTGTACTTTTAAGAAGTACAATTTCTGGGCCACATATGAAGTCACCTAAGATCATCCATGTAAACATTATCTGAGTTAAATTTAGGTTCCTTTTCTTCTAGACCCATCACATCCAAAATTTCAGACAAGCCATTTATATGTCCCTGAATGCTTTTCCTTGTCTGAAAGGCAATGTATGATAATTCTTGTTATTATTTGATAGGGTTGTGATGTTCAAATGATCAAATGATCAAATGATGTAAATACATTAAAGTCTTAAAGAGCTCTGTAGATGTAATACTGCATTTCTTGGTCTAAGCTGATAGAAACAGAGAACGCTTGTTAGACACAACACATCTGCTCATGTAGTGGAGAGTTTTGTGTTTGATTCAACTGTGGAGGCTGACAGGGAGTGAACGAATCTAGTTTTGCCCCAGAACATGAATTCACTGGAAGGAGAGCAGTGAAAATCTTTTAACCACTCCAAGCCGAGTTTTCATATTTCTATCTTCATTTTAAAAAGTTACGTGGTTTTCAAAACTTTCCTAATGGGTGAGGAATCACCTTCATGTGCTCCTTTAAACTCAGTGTGAATGTTATGTGACATTTGTGTTTTACTAGATTTTTTAAAACTTTTTTTATTTTGAAACAGTTTGTGATTTGAGGCTTATTTGGTGAGGAGTTTGAAGATTACTGAACAACGGTTTTTAAAATGAAATTTTTAATGGCTTATCTTTCTGTTCTATACAAGGCAGATAACAAACCTTTTTCGCTAGCATATTTTGATGATTTACAATATAGATGCATTTGTTATGTTTAAGTGAGAGAAATACAGTGTTACTTTGAGATACTTCTTCTGTAGGAAGGAACTGGTTTGCCTTACAATAAATTCTAGAAGCTTTTGTCTTCAGGAATTAATTTAGAATGAAGGAAATAAATATTTCACCTTTTTTCAATCTGACAAAAATGGTTTCCAAACATTTTGTAATTGAACACATTTGAACTTCAGTTTTTGATCTTGGGAATGGCTCTCTTGGAAATGACACAATGCCTCATCCTAATATAACCTTAATGAGCTCAAAAACTTAATTCTGGGCTGGAGCAAATACAAGGTTAGCCAAAGATGATTATGTCAGAGGGGACCCAGAAATCAACTGAAGGAGCTTATAATGACTGTGACTAAAAAATGTTGAGAAGCAAAATAATTGACATAATATTTTTTACATAAAGTATGCAAAACATATTTTTGGGCTCATAGTTTTAAGTAAATGATTGAATAGTTGTGTAAATGGCCTGAAACAAATTTTCCACACAAATGAATTATAAATAATGTATCTGATGTTCCTCACTCTAGGAGGCAGAGCCTAATTCCACCCTTCTTTCCTTGATGGCAAGCCAATTTATCAATTTTAAAGAATGGATTATGGGGCCAGTGAGATACCTCACCGAACTAAAGTGCCTGCTTAGGCAAGTACATGGAATGGGGTTCAATCCCTTACACCACATATGAGCCAGCCCCGCCCCTGGGCCTGCTGAAGTGGCTACCAAGTCTAGGCGTGGTGGTGCACACCTGTAATTTTAGCACTGGCGAGGCTGAAACAGGAGGATCAATATCATTCCGAACTGCATAGCAAGACCCTGTACTAAGTGCATAATAAAGAAAGAAAGAATAGATTATGGACATGGACATGGAAGTGGTCATGGAAAAGCCTGGGAAATACTATAGTAGTCAAGTGACAAAGATTAATGTCACGTGCAATGTTCTGTGTGTATTATATTCCCCTTGGCATGATGTTCTAACTGCAATTTGCCTCAGTGGAATTCTTAAAAAAGAAAACAACTTGTAACTCTAACACTAGAAGAAGAAAAAGCATCCCAGGAGAAAACATCAGATACCCACAAGTTGAGGATCATTTTAGAACTACCTGAACAATATTCTTCAAAACTGTGAAGGTCATAGAAAAGGAAAGTCTGATAACTGTCTGTCATAGACCAGACAGGAGACAGAGGAGAAACGATGACGACAGTGTGGTAACCTGAGTGGAATAGTGAAAAGGAAATGGACACCACTGTAGAAAACAGATGCAGTATGAGTGATGTCTGTTCCTCACTTATGTTGGTGTCTTCATTGTGACAAATTACCATGATGATATAAAATATTGATGTTAGGAGAAACTGAGCAAAGGGTATATGGACACTCTACTGTGTTTCAGTGTTTCCATAATTCTCAATGCATTTCAGAATAAAATTTTGTAATTTTGCTTATTTAAAAAACATTAATTTTTTTTGATTGTATAGAATGAAATGGTGTGAATGATAGGAACTGTGTTGTGTCTTCATTTTTCCCATTTTTTGATTGTGTAAAACGAAATGATATGAGTGGTAGAAACTTTTGTGTCAATTCATTTCTCCCAGCTAGCATGTTTTGTTTACTGCTTTCCTTCTAGTATAATAAATTGTCACCATTTGGATCTGTAAGTTCCCTCATTAATAAATAAAATTTGATTCATATATAATTTTTAATGATCTTCAAAAAGTTATGTTTATGTCTGAAACTTTTACACTATAAAGTAAGGTTAATAAGCTACCAGTTAATAGTTGTTTATTTTGATGGGAAGACATTAATAACTTATAATGATATAAAGGATCTGACCTGTGATTGTTTTGAAAAATAGAATTGTGATAGACTTATGTTAATAGTGTTCTTGATCATAATACAACATTTTGGGACTTTAAAACTTAATAAGATAATGTGAAATTAATCTAATGAAAGAATACCTAAAATATTTTAAAATGTAAACTTTGTTATTAACTATGAAAATGAGTATATTTCATTTTATTTTCCAGACTTATTATCTAGGATAGATTTGGATGAACTAATGAAAAAGGATGAGCCACCTCTTGATTTTCCTGATACCCTGGAAGGATTTGAATATGCTTTTAATGAAAGTAAGTGTGTATTATATCCAAAATGTGTTTAATAGTGTTAAAAAGATGCTACAGTAGACATTATTTGCTACTTTTAAAGTCCAGCGACAATGTTTTATGTATTTCTTATGAGAAATAATACTTCATGTGATGAAATCCTTCACAGAAGTGGAAGAACCAAGTGACAATCTTCTGTTGCTGTCAGCTCACATAAACTGATGGTCTTGAATTTGATCACGTTTATGCATTTTTGACCTTGAGCCTTCAGCAACTTGATACGCAGCTGAACTCCTAATTAAATTATACAGAAAGATAGAAAGATGCTACTACTTCACATGATATTTAAAGTGAAATGGCTGGCAATTATTTGTGACAGTATTTTAAAGGAAATTACTCAATTTTCCACATTTTTTCAGGCAATAACCTTGTCTTAAAATTCATTAAGTTCTGAATAAAAGTCTTTATACTTGCCACATGGAAGAACATATTGTAATTGCAGGTATGTTTCTGGAACAGAGAATCATGATTCATTGGATTAATACAACTCCTGTATTTGAAGGGCAATGTTATTAGAGCATAGGTAGCTTTTGAGTTGTAGTTTTGTTAGTTGCTGTTCTGCCTCACATGAATTGGTGATCTGTCATCATTCTATATTAGATGTCCCTTTACAGTATCAGTTAATGGTGTCAGGGCTTCCATGTCTATATTATTAAGTTAAATGAGTTTAAACAGAAGCAACTAGAAATTTTAATCTCTTTTCATATTTTAATTTTTATAAAAGATACTGTATGCTATTGTGTGTATAAGTAGTGATATTTTGTTGCCTGGAGGGGAGGAAAGATTAAAGCAATTGGCCTCTGGTCTCTTTCTCTCCTGATTATCAGGAGAATATTTCTGTGGAAGGAAAAATGACAGATGGACTACCTTTTCTCTTTAAAATATGCTGCTAATTAAAGCTTTTTAGTAAACTCGACCAGTGTTTGCTATGAGAAGTGTCTTTATCTGTGCAGTTCTGTGACACCATTGACTGGCTCAGCATTACTCATAATAAAGTCTTGCATGTATGAAGGGTATTTCTCTTGATATTGTCACAGTAGCACAATAACTCTTTAGCATATAGTTCCAGAATATCCTAACCAAAATGCTCACTAGTATGTGAAGTCACCCATCTGCTTTATGTAAGAGATCTCATGTGGCCTTCTAGCATCAGAGCGAAGGGCTTGTCAGGAAGTCTGATTTCACAGACTGGACCTGTGTTAGCTCATGGCCTCTTGCCCATTCCTTTTGGTATCTTATATCTTACTCATGTTTTGACACCTACTTGAAAAAGTTCACTGAAACCATTTTAACCTTTTTAGAGCATAGGATTGTTCTTTTTTCCAAAATTATTTTAAACTTTAATTGTCCGCATGCATAACACATTTCTTCTCGGTTGTTTAATTTTGTGAAAAAATACCTGTTCAATGTTATACCTAAGATGTTTGATATGCAGACAGATAGTAAGGTTAAGCTTAACAACCTAAGTTGTATGGTAATAACAATAAGCTTGTCTTCTGGATGGTTAACAACCTAAGTTTTCAGACCAAATTAGAGAAAAAGGAGGGCTGCAAGGAAAGCCACCTGTTTGGCCCTAGCCTTCCAAGGTCAATTAAGACTCAGGATATATGAGAACTTGTACTGTAACATCATGTAACTCAGTAGTGTCCCAATTTTCTGATCAAGGAGATTATGGGGCCAAAGAAGAAAGTGATCAATGATGTAGAGTGTGCCTAAGGAGAGTCACATGGAGAGAAAACATTCTCTCAGGCTTTCACAGAGAGCACATTGGCCAAGCAATGGCCAGGACTCATCCACATGGCTGACACTGACAAAGGTTCTACAATCTGAGGTACAGGATCTCAGGATAAATCCTGAGGGGATTTCACTGACCTTATCAGAGCCAAAAGCTACAACTCTTGTTGCATAGGTCCTGCTTTACCTTGGTCTTAACCATCCAGCAGAAAAGTATAAAAGAGAAATATAAGAAGTAAAGCTGTGCTGTTATCTTGAGCTGTAGGGGACTCGGGTCAACAATTTCTGACATTGCCAGTCAAGCAGAAGACCCAATACTATTATGGGCTACTGAACTCTTTTAGAATATTTTGCTGAGTTTACACACCTATAATATTCAAATAACAGAACTTAACCAAAGAAGGGGGTACAGATGAATGTCCATTTTGTATCTGTGTATTCAAAGTGGTTAGGATAGATGTATAGTTACATTCTCTTGATGAATAGAGGGATTTGTTCTACTGGTGTTTGTAAATAGAATATCATGTCCGCATCTTGTATAGCAATTAACCACTAGGAAGAATGTATGCGATGTGTTAATTATTGATACTGTCCTACCAATTTGATTTGAAACTCTCTCATTGCTAAAATTATGAAAAAAATAAAATAAAAATGAAACTGATTTTGAAATAAGCACAATAGTTGTTTAGGGTGAAATGTTACTACAATGAAAAAATATATGGTAATACAAACCTCTGTTCTTATATTAATTGAGAAGCAGAGAACCCTACCTGTGCCAAGTGCAAAGTATTCAAAATGCTTCTTTGGACACAGAGAGCCCAGACTGCCCCTGCCCCCCCAAAAAAAACCAATAAATAAATAAAACAAATAGAAAAGGAAAAAAAAAAGTTGCTTAGCATTTTAATAATTAGATTTTTACTCTTTAGGTGGGCTCTTTACTCCATGAGAACTGGGACTATGTGGCATATTTGGTAGAAATTGTCATATAGAGTAGGTTCTAAAGTAGTATTTGTTTGCTTTACATTAGTCTAATGAAGACTGTAATAGCTTTTAAGTACTCAGGGACCATTCTTTTATACTTGTGATGGTTTTGTGTCATACTGACATTAGAAGAAAAGATTTAGGGAAAAAATAAGCTGAGTTAAATTTTTATCAGACATTGTTGCACTTTCCATATTATTTTAAGTGTTCTCTTAATCATTGCAATATTTTTTCTAGAGGGGCAGTTAAGACACATAAAAACTGGGGAACCGTTTGTTTTTAACTACCGGGAAGACTTGCACAGATGGAACCAGAAAAGATACGAGGCTCTTGGAGAGGTATGTTGTTTATACTTTCTAGCCTTGTATTGTACAGTTGTAAATCTTCAGAGTAAATATTCTGAACATGTAGAAGTTTATGCATCTTGAAATGGATAGAACAACGAAGATGTATTAGATACATGTACTAATTCTCTACAATGAACATAATCAATATTTAGCACAAATATGTACTGATAAACAATGAGGTTTTTGCTTCTTTGTATTTGGATATTCTTAAATGGCTATATTAGAAACATACTCTTAGTTTAAAAATTTCTGTTATATACAAATATATCCTTCCTGTGACCTTAAAATTTTGTAGTGAGTCATTCCTTAGGAAAACAAATTCATGCCAAATTATATCTTTTTAAATGTTAAGAGGTGGAGTCTTTGAATGTACCAAGAAAATGAGTGCTTTTGAAAGTGCTTATTTACTGATTGCCAGTCAACAACTACCACCCATTTCAGCGTGAAGAAGCCAGAGCGGTCTTCGCCCATATTTCCCTTCACGGTAGTTCAGGTTACTTCTTCAGAGGGGGGAATATTGCAGGCAGCCGAGTTAGATAAAAATATTATAGGCAGTCAGACAGGGCCATGCCCTCAAAGGAGACAGCACAGAAGATGAAGTGCCTTACAACTGTGGGAGGGGCAGATGCTCCTGCTGTGAACCAGACCTGAAGACCTAAAGGCCAAACAAATGCTAAACGAGTAGCACCTGGGATTGATATTCTAAACAGGTATCAATCACCTGGAAAGACTCAAGTGAGTCACTAGCCCAACCTCCAACAGAAAGAGACACTATCCCTCATTCCAACCCCCAACAGGAAAAGACCCTGTCCCATATGTAATCCCATTGGTTGACCATAGTTTTGTCCCACTTCCTGCCCACCTAAGCAAGTTCCCATTCTTTCTACTTCAGCCTCACATGGTTTTACACTATAAAAGTCCCTGGAAGAGACAGCTTCCCGGGGAACTACCCACTCAGCCCCCCTCCTGTCCCTCTCTTGGACAGGAGCTTTCTTTCTCTCAATGAATATATTCTGTTCATAAAAAAAAAGTGCTTATTTACATGAAGAAGACTGATTTTTGGCCAAATAAGACTTGAAAAGGGGATAGGTCTTGAGAAATTTAGGACTCTCACATGATAAACTGGTAGGAACCTTTGAAAACCTCTCTTGTAAGTTTGGTGAATATTTTGATAAAGGTAAAAATGTTGCTCATTCTGTATCATGTTACTTTCTTTTAAATACATATGGATACATTTGTATAGTGGGTTAACTAGATGGCTGCTATACTAAGGATAAGCTGAAATTTATATTTTCCATTTTTACTATTTGATAAAGTAATCAAAGTGACTGGACTAAATAATAACATAAAGAATAACCTTCTACCCGAGAGACATCATAGCAGCAACTAGCATGTCATGACAAGAAGCCCATATTCAGAAGACCAGAATGACAGGCACTGTAAGCATGAAACTACTATTACAGATTACCATCTGCAGTGCAGTAGCTTAGTTCACATGTATCAGTATATATACTTAGGGTGAGAATCTTTCCAATTAACTGCTAGATTAAAAACCACTAGGAAGAATGTATGCAATGTGTTAATTATTGAAACTGTCCTACCAATTTGATTTAAAACTGTCTCATTGCCATTTGTTTATCAATAAAATTATGGGGAAAAAAAGAAAATAAACTGCTCAAAAGAAAAGAACAACTTGGATGTGAGAAAAATATTGTAGTTAAAATAAAAATTTAATTCCAAAAAAAAAATAACCTAAAAAATTATAGTATGCTGGGAGATAATTTCCCTTGGGTCTTTTTGCATTTCTCAGTGGCTCGGAGCAAAGCCTTGATAACTTTTGTTCCAGATTGTTTTTTCAGGGATATTTGTGCAATAAACAGGCATCAAAGGTAGAAATCATGTCTCCTGCCAAGACAGTAGGAAGTTTTGTTTGCTATTTAAATAATAAATAGGGGTCGGAGAGATAACTCACTGGTCTAAGTGCCCGCCTGGCAAGTGTGACGACGTGGTTTGATCCCTGGTACCGCATGCTGTCCCGGCCCCGGGACCCTGGGTGTGCTGTGCCGGCCCTGAAACCAGGCATAGTGGCATGTGCCTGTAATCGCAGCACTGGGGAGGCTGAGACAGGAAGATCACTATGTCTCCCAGCTACATAGCGAGACCCTGTACCAAATAAGTAAATAAATAATTTCTTAGAAATAAAATAATGAATACAGTGCTCCTCCTTTCCCTTACCGATAGCAAAGAATGGTAGATTTAGCAGCCCCTTTAGAAGACTAGGTTTGCAGAATTAGAAGTTCCTTAGTTATGACAAAATCTCAATGTGTGCTAGATGCCCGCTTGGGTCTATCCATCTCAGTTCTTTGGAATTTGAGGAGTAAGAGATATAGATGACTCTATGAAGCTCACGCTCCCTGCTGTCCCTGACTTTGAAAGTCTTTATTTATGATCTGAGAGTATGGCATGTTCTGGAAGCACCTGTAAGATGGGGCAGGATAACCTAAATCTTGTACTCATGTAAAAAGCTCAGCATTTATAACCCTTAACAGTTTTTAATAGTGTTAACCAGCATTTAGAATAATTTCTGCTTATAACCTTCTCCTTTCTCATATATGCTACAGATTAGTTGTATTTTGATTATAGAATAACCAGACTATAATGATGTGAGAGAAGTGGTTATGCTGTTTGTTTGTATTGAAATGGAGGCTGTAGTTTAATCCTTTCCATAGGGTGTATGCACCAGCTCACTTAGGCCTGTTGCTATGCTCACAGCGTACCTTGTCTTTTTTGGCATCTACATCTTTTTTACTCTCTATCTGTATTTCTTAACATCTCTGTCAACATTCATGTAGTGTATCTTGTTGAATTATTTCATTATATATGGTTTCTTTCTCCTAGGATCTAATATATAATTATTTGGATATATTGAGAATCACAGTTATATGCTTGGTAGATCTTATTCTATAAGCATGAAAGTGTTTTGAACTTTCACATAATGATTATTTCTATAGTGAGGGCATATTCTATATTACCTGCATTAACCTGGTGCGCTTGCATTCAGATTTATACTCATAGTCAAATTGGCCTCAAGTGATTACCCAAAGTCAGAGCAATTTTCTAACATAACAAAAGATGCAGGGATGGAAAATGGAAAATGGATTTGTTTGGTATAGTGTTTCTCTCCATTGCTGTTGATTCTCATACCTGTTTGTGATATATGTGTCATAGCTAATTTTACTGTTGAAGGATTTTTTGTAATTAAACTTCATTTTCTGCATCTTACGAGTGAGCTTGCATGAGGTTGAGCTGCTTACTAATTGTGACCCAGTTTTTACGGTGGTGAATCAGCTTGTGTAGAGTTCATTGATAGCAGGCTTCCACACTTTGGCGGCCCTCTCTTTTCATTCATGTCCCTTCATTTCCAGTTCCGAAGCATGCCTTTCAGTTAGACGTGAGCATCTGCTGCTCCTCTCACACGTTGCTCTTCCATCCAGAGCTGCTCTGCCCTCGGTGCCTTACGGCTTGGTACAGCTCTCCCCGCACCGGCCTGCAAGTGTGGCCGTCTCCTGGCACCACAGCACTCCTGTCCTGAGCCCTCTGCTGCACTCATCCTCTCTTCTCAGCTTCCTGCCATCCCTTGCTCTTTTCCTTCCCATTTTGACATACAATGTCACCAACTTAAGGTGACATTAAAGATGAAAACCATTTTGCATGGCTTACAATAAGAAAGACTTTTTTAAAAAGAAAATGTTAGTAAAGTAAAAGCATTAGTTTGC